AGCATTTGGCCCCCTTCCTTTCGCCGACCTCTACCCCTTTTTCACCGGTCTCTGGGACCTCTTGGAACCAAATTACGACACTTTTGGCAAACTCCGCCCACTTAGGTGCGTGCTCCGCCCACTAATAGCAGTTGACCTCCTTTTCCTCGCCAACCTCTAACCCCGTTTTCCCCTATCTCTAGGACTTCTTGGAACCGAATTGCGACCCTTTGACAAACTCCGCCCACTTTGGTCAAGCCCCGCCCACCAATGACAGCTGGCCTCCACATCTACCCACCTTTTTCCGGCTCATTAAGGCTTCCCTCGGCCGAATTATTAGGTTGTCTCATAAATAGTGTCGCTTTTTTTCAACCAAAAAATTTTCATCTAAATCCCCATGCTTTTACATCGTGTCATATACCATTCGAAAGAGAATTGTCTGCTCTACAAGATGCTATGTTCCACTTCCACCTCTGTTCCAGGGTTTTCAAATTTTAGGCCTGCGAAATGGGAGGTCCAGCCGACAAAAATTGACCAAACCGACAACTATCTCTAACTTTATCTTCCCTTGGGAGAAATCAATCAATGATGTACCCTCTACTTATACATGACCTCTTCTAAACATTACACTATTAGGTTTCCCAACAAGTCGCGTCGTTCCATTTCCAGACCTGGTTTTTCAACCAGAACTCGACGGTCGAGCACCATTACCTGAGATCTAGGTCGAAATTTTTTATAGCCGAGACATTGAAAAACTAGGAATTTGAAAGAACAAGTCATGACTAAGTTAGGAATGTACGCCTGGTTGATTTTCTCATCTTCTCAGGGATAATTTTTTTCAAAGAAATGCGGTCACTTTCGTGGATAAAGCACCTTATTCCTAAACACCTAAAATTCGAACTAATTCCCAACAAACATAAAACAAAACAAATGAGCGAATAGAGCAGAAGAAGTGCTCACAAAAGGAACACCACTCGATATGAAACAATGGCGTTTACGAGGAACAATTTTAATTTGAAAATTGCTATGGCTTATCGGTCAGCCAATTCGAAAAGAAACAGGCAAAGCTTTTTCGGCAACCTAAGAGTGGAATGTTCAGAAGAGGTCATGAGTAAGTAGAGGGTACATCATTGATTGATTTCTCCCAGGGAAAATAAAGTTAGAGCTAGTTGTCGGTTTGGTCAATTTTTGTCGGCTGGACCTCCCATTTCGCAGGCCTAAAATTTGAAAACCCTGGAACAGAGGTGGAAGAAGAACATAGCATCTTGTAGAGCAGACAATTCTCTTTCGAATGGTATATGACACGATGTAAAAGCATGGGATTTAGATGAAAATTTTTGGTTGAAAAAAAGCGACACTATTTATGAGACAACCTAATATGAGGACTTGTAGAAAATGCTGTACACTTCAGAGCGCGCTCCGCCCATTGTGGGCGGGCCTCCGCCCACGTCATGTATGCTGGAAACACCTTAGACATTGCTCCCCTACACCAATTTGTTTTCTGCTCTGTAGGCTTTCTCCCAACCGAGTTATGAAATTTTTCATAAAGCACTGCTTTTTTGGAGAACGCCCCGCCCACCGGGGGTGGGTCTCCCTAATTCGATGTGACTTACCAATGCACACCTTTACCCACTTTTTGGCCCAGTTTCGAGGTCGTTTTGTCACTGAATTGAAAATCTTGGTCGTCAGTACACTTCATTTCGACGCACGCCACGCCCACTGTGGGCGGGGCTCCGCTTAGCTGATGTGTGTTTTGTACTTCGTGAGACCTTGCCCACCCATCCCACACTTGACCCGGTCCCTCCAGGCGGATCCCGAGGAGCTAGGGAATTTCGTGACAGACATACAGAACGACAGACGACAGACGACAGACGAAGCGCTTTATTGTAATAAGTAAGTAGGATAATATATAGTAAGTAGGAATGTAGGATAATAACCGCCCAGTGAACAACGTTACTTATTATCGACGCCACACTAGCTAAAGAAGAAAGCTGGAAGAAGCATTCGTGTCTAAATCTAGTCGATTTTTTGAGTACGGTTTTGTTGAAGTTTTGTGCAACAAATCAAGTTGCCTTCAGTAGTTGCTACGTATTATACTTCAACCGTACTATCAAACACTTATGAATTCTGAGGTCTTTTCATTAGTCTTTTTCATTACTTTGCTGATATTCCATCTGCGTTAGAATGTATGGTTGATTAGTACGATGATTTACTGAAGAAAGTTTGCAGTTTAGTCAATGTTGCTATAATTAAGCAAAAATGCGGTCTCCTGGGACCGTATGGCCCGCCGGCGGGCCACATGCGTGTCTGGCGTGCGGTCCCACACGCTAGACACGTTTAGAGCGCGCGGTCGTCAAAGGGGTAATACATGTGCTAGTGAGAGAGGTAACCCTCAAATGTGTGCACTTCTCATACGAGATGGTTCCGCACTTATTGAAGGTAGAATAATTGTCCGCACGAGCTTTTTTACTAGATTGAACTTCCGCGAGGTGTATCGTGTCATAATCTTGTCGATTCAGATTGAGGATCGGCATACCTTGATACGATGATGGGTGACGGACGTTAGTACTCAGATCGCACTTTTATCTACTTCACGCCTTTGTCTCACACCTCGCCAGGATTGCATTTAGGAAACTTTCAGTTAGACTAGAGATTCACGATCAAAGCGAAGGTCAAAGGATGGGAAAATTGCATAGTTGGGAGACGGCTCTTGAGGGTGCTGACTGACGCGCAATTGGCAGCGAAAGATTTGACCTCGGCGATCTAGCATGGCTCACTCTTGGCGTGGATGGGTACACCCAATACCGATTATCTAATCACTCGCCGCAGGTCTATACGTGGCGAGTGATTAGATAGCAGAGAGAGCGTAGTGTTGAAGAGGGCACAGCGATGAGAGTCGCATCAATGTGCGAATCAACGGGCAGGGAAGGGTCCCATTTCTCGGGTTCCGGGTAGTGTTAAATGATTTCTAGCCAGTGCATTGGCAATCATTGGCAATTTGGCTGGGTAGAGATGTGCGATCGTTTCGGGATTACAGAGACTATTTGGACTGGGTCCTTTAAAACGTTCAGGTGCCGTTTTTGTCCCAGAAACTGTTATATTTAGAAGCTTATCTCTCTTTCTAGCAATGGAAATCAATTGCAG